GACGTTTGTCACGGAGTGTTGTGATTGGTGGATATCTTACCCTAGATTGTGATGACGTTCGTCACACAGAGTGTTGTGATTGGTGGATATCCTACCCTAGATTGTAATGGCGCTTGTCACGCAGTGTTGTGATTGGTGGATATCTTACCCTAGATTGCAATGACGTTTGTCACGCGGTGTTGTGATTGGTCGGCGAACGTAGCCTTTGATGACGTCGATAGTACGGAGTACATAGAATAATAGTAATCGATTTATAGAGTCGGATGAAGTACTGTGTCGTGTGGTATAACTTGCCCACTAAGTCATGTAGGCCGTCTATTTGAAAAATAAAACTGCATTTAAAAAATTTTTTTTTTTTACATTTTAAGAATAACTTTTAACAGCATTTGAGCTCGAAATTTAGATTTTTAGAAACTAAGATGTATATACAATGTATAACATTCGTCTTTTCTGGTGCACATAATATTTCTTTCGAAGTTTTGGCGCTTCTTTCCAGGATGAAGAGGCTTAAAATTATTTTTTTAGCACCTTATATTGATGATAATAATAATAAGGCAGCTAGAAATTCATGAGCTCTCTTGATGTTTTCACACATTCGGACAACATTTGTTGAGTAAAATACAACTATGACAATGTCTTTCATGGTCGGACCCACGTCTGTTGCAAATCTCAAAACATAACCACCCCCCCCCCCCCAACCCCCTTTCCAACAATTAATATAGATTGTTAATATTTTGCTTATACCTATTCCAGATATGACTCAGGTCCCAATTACGAGAACTTCAATCAAGCAAGAAATGTTTAATGCACTCACTAACAAAAAACGAAGAGAAAATAATAATGTTGCTTATAGATCTAACTAAGCTTACATGTATTTTAAGAGTGGTCGAATGTGAAAACATTTCCCTGTGTTGTAAAGACAAAATAAAACATGTTTAGTGTCCGAATTGGGAATAAATTGGTAAATGTTATCAAAGGTTATAGCTATAAACCAAACAATCGTTTTATTTTATAGATGGACGGCCTGTTACGGTAGAAAGAATCTTCCTTATTCAATTATCCCGGTCTCCAAACACAGTGTTCTGTGGTTTATGGATGCATTATGTGTACTTTGTACTGTTGTCAATGATAAAGTCAGCTATATGGGGAGCTGTGATTGGTGGATACTTGTAGAAAATTATGCCGCAAATGTTATGGAGAGTTGTGATTGGTTGTGACTTACGAAGCCAATACTGCAGTATCTTGTGCTAGTAGTAGTAGAGATCCATGACCAAAGGTAAGATTGGAATATGACGTCACTATAGTGTGAAGTGTGGTCAAAAATTCGTAGCGCAACTTATTGTAAAAAATCTCTTCAACTATCGAACATAAACTCTCCAGCTTTTGCACAGTGACTTGTATCAATTTATCTTAATAGATCAATATTTTGGTAAACACCTGTTAGCTCTATTCTAGAAAATTCGTTAATAAATACTCATAAAAATCCCAGTGTGCGGTTTCTACAGATGTAAAAATGTTTAGGGGGCTCTCGTGGCCTAGAAGTTAAGGTGTTGGTCTCTCATTTAAAGGTCCCGGGTTCGAATCCGGGTAACGACCGAAAAATTTTCTTCTCTAAAATTGTCTCCTTTCACATCTTTTCCTGCTCTCTAGCAATGTTCTGTTGTCTGTTTTCATTTCCACTTTTTGCCCCCACCCCCTCACCTCCTTTGCCCCCTCCTCTGAGCTCCTGACTCTTTCTACTGCTACTTCTTGGCTCCTCCTTACTGCTGTCTTTCTGCCACACCCCTGATCTTCTGGTAGAAAAGATCTACACCTAGCCTTCTCGGACAGGGGCGAAAAATCTCGGAGGGCCCGTGTGCAAGTTGCGCACGTTAAAGATCCCTTGGTGGTCTAAAATCGATAAGAGTAGGCTTCGGCCGCCACCCGGGCAAAAATCAAAATTACCTACCAACTGAAAATATTAAGTGTGTCCCGCGCGCTCATATGACCTAATGCAGTTGCGAGCGCCGTAAAACACTTACCAAAAAAAAATAAATGTTTACAGCTGGTACAATAACGCTCTTAAAAGCAAGTCCATCACTTGTTTCTTATTGCGAGATTATGTTTATTGAATGCATGTTTTGAGAAATTTTAGCGCAACAAAGTGTTTACTATAAAATTAATTTCTTGTAACGAGTTTTGACTCTAAAAAGTGTCATTGGTGTGCTGTGACGTAGGTCAAGCGTACGCAAAATGTGTGTGAGAAGCGGGAAGTGCAGTGATCAATTCCATTTTCCGCGTGAAGGAGATTTGCAGTATTTTACATACATTTATGAAGAAAAGTTTCATTTTTAAAATCTAACCTCAATTGTAGTGGAAAAATGTGATTAAGTTAAAACAAATTGATACAAAACTGCTGTGCAAAGTATGGGTGACATTGATTCACCCGTTGAAAAGATATATGAAGATAAGTTGCGCCACGAATTTTTGACCTCACTATATTATATATTATATATGCACTTCGTCGAGATCTTAGGAGTGACAAAATATCATGGAATGTGACTGTGATGACGTGACTGGTGTTCCTAGATCGACTGGGAACGGGAGGTCCTGTCCCTGTGGTTTTAAGTACCCCGAATAATTTAGCAAAATTTAATAATTTTTTGCATAATTTCTTATCTTTTTCCTTTATCATTCTTTGTTAAAATTAACAGACTCGCATAATTTCACGTTTTTTTGCTCAGTTTGCATTTGCATAATTTCATAATTGTTCTTGCATAAAGCGACGGGGACAGGAGGTCGGACGCAAAATGCCAACGACAGCTTCTCAGTTGGAAAAATTTCAGGAAAATAGATGACTGCGAGTTTACGTATCTCAGCAAAAATGCTTCTCGATTCCCAACAAGAAAAGACAGTTTGCCGTACATGGCATGTAGTATCCTAAATGATTCTAAGTCAACCCGTACAGAAGGGCGTATGCTGACATATGAGTCATGATTGAAGAAACATGAAAGGTTATGATGAATTGGATAGATGTCGTCTAATTTTGTTTTGATAACTGACGTACTTCTTCTAATAAGGCAAACATGTACAACTGCAATACGCTGAGTAACTCTGTCCCCTTTCTGTCCCCTTGGCTTTATGCACCTCGCCTAAATGAGCAAAATGTGGTCATTTTTTGTATAATTTCGGATTATTTTCCTTTACCATTCCTTGTAAAAATTAACAGAGTCGCATAATTTCACAATTTTCGGGCTCAGTTTGCATAAATTGAGATTTTTTTCTTACATAAAACGACGAGGACAGGTAACTGAAGGCAAGCCTCCAAAAGCTCCCACTTTGTGGGGGAATCTGCAATATTTAAATCCCGGAGTGTTGGCAAAGTTGCGAGGCAAAAGCAATATATTTGTCAGCGCCATTTCACAATAAGTTACCTAGCCTAATCAGTTCCTTGAGATTCCCAGATAAAGCTGTCATTTGAATAAAGACATCATCAAAGGACAGCTTTCAATATTGTTCACTGGCGTCTGTCGTGTTGTAGTTTGGCGATTCATAGTCGCATGCAGGAGACCTGAGTTCGATTCCCAAGTAGAGAGAATTTATGTTTTGAGTATCTCGGTCTTCCTGCTGAGATGTTGTATCCTTCTCAGCCCTGGTCGGTCCTGACAGGCTGGGTCGAAATCCCACTTCTAACCAAATGATCTAAACTGTGCCGATGGGAGCGTGAATTAAAAAGAAAAGAAAATTAAATAAAGGCTTTTCTTTTTCCATAATATAAACAGTTTAGAAATTAAACAAATTAGAGGTTGCTACAATTTATTCGTTACAGTCCAGAGCAGGTCAGTTTGCTAATAAAGTGATTCTATTTTGAATACAAGAGCTTTAGTTTCATCAAGGAAGTGGGCTTGTGCAGCTGGTTCTCTACAACTTGTGTTGCATATACATTTCAGAGTTTACAAATTAAAAAAAATATACTCTAGCACATACAACATAGTGAACAGATTTTCAGCAGAAGCCTATACTTTCGTTCTATTTCGTTATGTATTACCTTTTAGGTTTACTTTGAAAAATAACGAGTGCCCAAGTCCACGCTTCTGATTTGGGTTCTCTCTGTTCCATTAGTTTTCTAAAAACTTCAAAGAATGGGTTATGACCTTTATGTATTTGAATAAAGCTGACGACAATATATTACGCGTAGTTAGGCTTCCCAAAATGACTCGAGTAAACTCGCTACCTTCTGATACTGATGAACATGCGATTTTCATATCATCGAGTGTTTTTTTAATCGCCCAACAAGTGATCCCTGACCCCATGAAATTGAACTATTTTTTTTCATATAGGGTGGCGTCTGAAGTCCATTATTAGTAGGGACTACCGGACACATAATCGTGAGATTGCAGGTTAGGGTGTTCGAACCTCAGCTAGGGCCGACGTTGTGTCCTTGGGAAAGGCACTTTACATGAATTTCCCATTTGGCTCGGTCCTTTCGGAGATAGGCTTTAAATTCGGAGGTACCGCCTCTTAAATCACGTAATAAATACTATAGTAATTGTGTTGATAAGAGCATTAAACCTATAGGCCTACCATTTCACCATTGTTCATGATATACATATATGGTATATATATCATATCTAGATGCCTGTAGAAAGCTGTAGGTGTCATCCCTGGCTCTGAGGCTGACGTGTAATGACCCGCCATTGCTTACGGTCGCTGGCAATAAATATTATGATGAGAGGTGACGAATTGTACAAGTAATTTATAGGAACGGAAGTTGCGGTGGGTTTTTTTAATGTTTTTTTTTTAAACTTTAGTTGAAGAATGATTGCGATAAGAATGAGCTAAGCTAGAGACACTGCCATCTATGTTCCCAGTTTTCTTAGACCAACTCCCAACCACAAAACACTTCATGACGTTTGACCTTCATGGCACGCAGTAAAATAATAATAAACGATATAATATGTGGCTCATGATTCATATGAAATAGTTTTCAAATTTAAAATGTTGCTAGTACATCATGGACATGTGCTGTCTCCTAAACTGTTGTTGTATGCAGGTAGGCAAACACATGTACTGTCTTGTCTCATCATAATCTATGTCTTGTCAAATGACTCAGTCTCATCATAATCTATGACTTGTCAAATGACTCTGTCTCATCCGATGACTCCCCAAGTGTCATGTACTGTTAGTGACTCTGTCTCATTCAGTGACTCTCTGTCTCATGAAAAAAAAAAGCTGTGAAATGACTATCCGTCTCATCAAATGACTATCTATATCCGTCTCATCAAATGACTATCTAGACTCTATATCTGTCTCTTCAAATGATTATCTCTTGACTCATCAAGAAAAAGTTGGGAAATGACTATCCGTCTCATCAAATGACTATCTATAGTATATCTGTCTCATCAAATGACTCTCTCTTGACTCATCAACAAAAAGTTATGAAATGACTATCCGTCTCATCAAATGACTATCATGCTATATCTGTCTCATCAAATGACTCTCTCTGACTTTGACTCATCAAGAAAAAGCTGTGAAATGACTCCAGTCCAAGGCTCATCAACAAATGACTGACCCAAGAGAAAAAAGTTTTTGAACTGACTCTCCAACTCCTATGGTAGTGACAGATATCCATACCTGGTTCTCCCAATTCTCTCCCAGACTTATGTATGGTACACATCGTCAGTGTCGCAAGCAATCCACTTAAATCTGTTTGGGTACTTTTAAAGTCAGAGATTAAAAAACTCGTTTTTGTTGTGTTCCTATCCTATCAGGAATCATGAAAAGGAAGAGAACTGTCAGGCTTAACCATAGTATTAAATTTTTAACGGCATTTTGGTGATGTTGAAAGGTGCATCTTTGATAGAACTTTGAGAGGGTGTAAAGATAAAAAATTCTCAAAATTTTTACTTAAACAGAATGCTTGCGGCAGCGACGATATATGTACATGTAGACTACCCCTACAATTACAATCACGTGAAAAGCTACTCATATTAATTTAAGCACCCTCACTCAAACGAAGTTCCACCAAGTTCAGGGACCTGTCTCTTAATAATGAGAACACCTAGGAGGAGAGGTCAAAAACTAGCTGGGAGCAGGAGGTCTTTTTCTTCGTCTTGCTCCATCTATCTGGAAATCTCCCCTACAACATTTGACTATTGAGGGATACAAAATCAGTTAAAATTGAAATTTAAAAAAAAAACATTCCTTGTGAAATGCCATCTCGACGGGTAGTTCTTCTTTTTCATAGTTCTGTTATGTTCACAATGTGAGGTGCATACCATTATCCATTGCACTGTGATAGTGTGAATGTCTGCTATGTGTTGGCGTAAATCTAAAGGGCGTATGTATGCATGTTCATTTACTTGTGTGTTTTGTGTTGAGATGAAAATGTTGATGTGAAGCGCATAGAAATGTGTTGAACAGGCATGAGCGCTATAGAAATTCATTGAAATATTACCATTACTAAAATGTGCTCTGTGTTACATGTTGTGAACAAAATATGCAAGACAAATAAAATGTTGACAACACAATTCTGTACAAGTTCATGTCCTATTGGGCATCATTTTATTTCTTTTGCTCAAATATTTACAATTTTTTACAAGGCAATTATACAAACAAGTTGCAAGTTGACATACAGTGGAGTTGGCTTTGACCGAACATGGCCAGGTTAATCTGAAAACAATGGTAAACTGAAAAAAAATAAAAATTCCAGAATTTTCCCCTTCTATTTGAGCAACCTCTCTAAACAGACAACACATTTAAACTAAACTGAAGGAAATCCAGCACTCCTGCAGGTTTCAGTTTATTAAGCATACTCCACTGTATACGTATCACTTTGCATGTCATTGCAACAACATGCACAATATACACGCGACTGTGGCAATAAATTAAACATCCAGTTACAGAGTTTTTCGTGAGCTGAACACTTTGATCCCGTTGAGCATGGAAGCTCGGGCGAACTTGGTGAGTAACGCTCCCACATCTGTTTTCTCACTGGTCAAATCTCTGGGGAGGGGAGGGGAGGGGAGGGGAGTGGGGATGCAAGAGAGAGATGGTTAAGAAGTTTGAGTCATGGGTAAAAGTTGGTCACAACATTTTGCCTGAAAACTTTCAAGGCTTCAAACTCATAGTACCTCAAGGGTGTTTCCCTGAAAAGATAATCGAATCACTCCCGTACTGTCGATTTAAGCTAGAACCCAAACAGCGGAGTTAAAAAATCTGACATTTTTTTAGATAGTTGTCAGGTAAACGGAAGAAACCTGTGCTTCACGAGATCGATGCAAGTCCAGTCAAGGACGGCCGTCACCAGCTGCCGGCACCATTGATGCCTTCTGGCTTTCTCTTGCCGGAACTTCCGACAAACTTTTACCCATGGTTTGGGTTTGAATTATCAAGAGAAGCACATCAACATAATGACGGTTAAAATATAGTGCAAGGAAAAAGTAAAATAGACAGAAATGATAACCATATAGTGCAAGGAAAAAGTCAAATAGACAGAAATGATAACCATAAGGGCAAAGAAAAGAAGTAGGACCAACCCGTAGCACCTTTCAACCATTTGTACATTTAAAAAGAACATAATGACATTTTTGACAAAGTGTGTGTGTGCCAGAGAGTGTTTGTGAGACTGTCTGTTGAAAGACTGGGTCAAAGTCAAAGTTAGAAAAATATGAGAGGGAGAGAGAAAGAGAGACAGAGAGACAGAGAGATGAGACAGTGACAGAGAGGGAGAGAGACAGAGACTATCGATCACTGTGAATAAAAGGAAGCAGATAGACACAATAACAGTCATTAAGTGTAGGGGGAAAAGCAAGACAAACAGATAGATCATTAAATGCAGCCTAAGAGATGAAGTTGGAACTATGACTGACACCCTCCAACCACCCGATAAAAGAGAAAGACAGATAGAGAAAGAAAGAAAGAAAGTAAGATAAAAGATCAACTTACATCACATATGGTGTGATTTCCTCCAGAGACCATTTCTTGCGTTCCTCAAATAAAACTTCAAACCTTGAGAAAAAAGAAAAAAAAACAAAAAACATGACAGCAATCATGAGAAAATACACCACCAACACATTTCAAGAACACAAAGCAAATAAAACATGATCCTTAAGTTCCAACATATAGTGGACAAAAACAAAAAAAGTCAACTTCTTTCATCCCTGCAAAGACAGCAGAGAAATTTTACATGATTGTAAGTGTTCTACTTCTACACCTCAATTGACACAAGTTACATCTTAACCAGACAGGCGACTTTGACCCTGCCTGTCAGAGCCGACGAAGACCCAGTGGTATACAACATCCCTGCAGACAGAGATTCTCCATTTCAAAAACTTCCCCTCTCGAGAATCAAACCTATGTCCTCTGTGAGCTGTGGCAAAGAGTATGACCATTACACTACAGACATTGGTGCAATTGAATCTCAAAACCGAAAGAGGAAATAAATGAAAGGACTCAAAGCACCAGAGCAATATATACTTTCCCAGTCTAAGAACCCTCCAATAATGTCAAGTTAGACAGTTCTTGGGCAAACAGAAGTACATTGTATCAATAATGATCATTTACTGAGTGGAAAAAGCAAGACAAACAGACAAAAACAAAAATGGGCCAGTAAAGAAAATCGAGTATCATAAAATCACATACTCTTTCTTTGCTCCAAATTGTATAAGAATAATAATAATAATGATGATCATTTCAATAGTGCCCACTCCCGTGTAAACACAGCTCTCGGCGTTAGAATACAAAATGTCACTCAACAAAAACATTCAACAGTTCTGCAAATAGCCAACACTTACAAGCCTGAGTTTGAGTAAAGAGAAATACATTGACAAAATTATCTGACAGACAGATTCAAAAGGGGGAAAGAAAAGGAGAAAGACCAACCAATAGTACCCCCACATCACCTGCCAACAATTTTTGCCTAACTGTAATGTAAGAACCACCAAAACATCAGACGAATGATCTTTGTCACAATGCAAACAACACGACCAAACGGTCAGCTATATTGGGCACTTGGTGTCTGAGTCTCTCACCTCTCTGCCACATCGTCTGGCAAATCGTCCACACAATAGTACCAGATGACCTCCGGCTGACTGGAGCGGTCAATCAACGCCATGCCCTGGACACAGAACAGATTAAAAGCAAACACATACATATGAAAAAAATGGTCAAGTTGTGAAATTGTTACTACAAGATCAGTCAAGTTTCTATATCAAAGAAAATTTCAAGGTACAGAAATACCTGGCAATTATCCTTCTTCCTTTTATAAATACACTATTTAAAGCACCACAGACACCAGACAGCTACCACGAGCTGTCCCGCCTAGAACAAGTAATTATCTTCCAACTTGGTTGGGTTCTTTTTCCATAATATAAACAGTTTGGAAATTAAACAAATTAGAGGTTGCTACAACTTATTCGTTACAGTCCAGAGCAGGTCAGTTTGCTAATAAAGAAGTGATTCTATTTTGAATACAAGAGCTTTAGTTTCATCAAGGAAGTGGGCTTGTGCAGCTGGTTCTCTACAATTTGTGTTGCGTATACATTTCAGAGTTTAGAAGGAAAAAAAAATATACTCTAGCACATACAACATAGTGAACAGATTTTCAGGTCAAAATTTTTTTCAGTTTAATCCGTATTTCTTTGAATTTTAAAATGTACCACACTGATTTTGGTATGTGCATGCTAGACCATAGGAAAATAACTTGAGAACAGCGTTATAGGATAGTGAAACACAACACACAAGCACAGCAAAAAACCACCAGTTCTTCTCTACAAAAGAAAAAAGAACATTCTGACAAGGAGCGATAGTTTTTATGGAAAAAAGCAATGAGACAAAATATAATATACAAAGTGTCTGTAAAGTTACAATACATCTAGGTTGAAGACAAGATGACTCAGTTCTCTATGCCCTGTGTTCTGGTCGGCCTAGTGAAGTTGTCTTTAGCCTAACCCTATAATAACTTTACAGAAACAGTGTATGTAATAGACAGACAGAAAAAATGAAATGGAGAGAGAATAATAATATGAGAGGGGTGGGCAGAGGGAGAGGAAAAGAAAGAAAGAGAGAGAGAGAGAGAAAAAAAAAAAGAGAGAGAGAGAGAGAGAGAGAGAGAGAGAGAGAGAGAGAGAGAGAGAGAGAGAGAGAGAGAGAGAGAGAGAGAGAGACAGACAGACAGACAGACAGACAGACAGACAGACAGACAGACAGACAGACAGACAGACAGAGAGAGAACGTACCTGTATCTGAGAGAGTGAGGTAGTCATTCCCTCGGGGACACTCTGCTGCCAGGCTTGGGAGAAATCTGACAGGTTGAACTGGTAGGAAACAAAGTCGGGTTCAGAAACTTGAATTATACCCGTACTATCCTAGACTGAACACAGTCACAGCTAGCGCTCTTTCCTCTCTATAAAAACTTCACCGCGCCGGTGCACACCATACACACACAAATGAACGTCTAAACACCAGTCTTGCGATAGTTGAGTGTGTGAGCTATCTTACCCTACTTGCCCTTCATTTGGTTCCAAACAGAGTCAGTTGATGCACTCCATGGTGAACCACAATTACGTCTTGGATATCATAATACAAGTCTATGGTTATTCTATGTGTGGCAGAGGAGATTTCTCCATACTTTGATAATTATAAAACATTTTTAACCCACATTGACACAAGGTCGGTTATAGCCTGTCTTTGATAACTATAATTTATACATTTGCACCTGCATTGACACAATCAAGATAGTTTACGAAGCTGACTGTTTCAGCCCTGCTTGTCAGGATGAACCTGACCGGAGAGGGATACAACATTCAACCAGAAAAAAAAAAAGAAAGAATAACTTTAAAGAAAACAATTCCAACTTCGTTCTGCTTCTTCCAAGTAACAATAAACAGAAAATATAGCAAAATCTGCATGTCAAAAAATGTCCAATCCACCAAAGTTTTGGTCATACATGTTCACAAGTTTGAAAAGATCAAAATGTCGCACCTTCCCAGAATTCCTCAGGCAAAGCTCGGCGAAATGTTTGCACACTTTGTCCTCACACAAAGGCACGGCAGTAGCTGAGGAGACACACGGACACATGGAAGACACAAGATTTTGTTTTAGTAAGTGTTTTATGGCACTTGCAACACAATAAGGTCATATAAGTGCCGAGGATGTAGAAGAGAGTAACAAGCACAAAATAGAAGGAGGGGAGATAAGGACAATAGATTTTTTTATCTATGAAAGAAGGAGCAAACCACACCAGAGCACCCGCTAACCTCCCACGAAGACACGAGAAAAAAGATTGTGGACTGTGGTACATACAATCCAACACCCACATAGAGAAATCAGCGGGGCGGAGAAACCTTTCTGTTACATTCGAATTTTGCTGAGTACCAGCATACATGTTTTAAATACAAACAATATGAGAGGCATCGTGGTGGAATCAGGCTCTCGTCAAAATATAATCAAAGTGAAGAAACTTGCATTTTTCTGCAGGTTTGTGAATTTTTATCAAATTTTTGTTTTTTTGGCACAACACCTTTCGTGCCCATTAAAGAACTCATTTCTGTGTGGATTTTTCTGAAAAGCTTTGATTAAAGGCATAAAAAATGTAAATCTTCAGTTACCACGGACTCTTAAGCTAAGGAAATAACTAATCTTTGGCGGTCATTTTCTCACTATTTTTACCTTTGAAAACTGGTGACTCCCACCTCCTTCTTTTGCAAATATTTCGACTTATATTCAAGATAAATGGATATTTTTTTAATCCAAATAAAGACAAGTGAACAAGCTTTAAGATGACACCAATAACTTTACATGCCCAAAAATTGACGAGAGCCTGATTTTTCAGCACAAGGACAGTACAGCTGGTTTTTCCACTAATAAAACGTTTCTACCCACCATTTGAAAACAATGATACCAAATAAAATGACCCAAGTGTCTATAACAAAGACTCATATGAAGATACAGTATCATTGTCCTTGTGATAAGATCGTCTAACCCCAGCGGAGTAAATTTTACAGGAAAAACAAAAAAAAATTCCAACTTTTAGCGTGCAGAAACTGGAGGCCAGATTTATCTATCCAAAATTCACACATGTCCATAACCGAGCATATTTATAAAATGAATAATTTACTATCAATTAGTCTAATAAAACAATGTTTGATATATTTAGTGAGTTGTTTAGTTTTAGTTTTAGTAAGTGTTTTACGGCACTTGCAACACAATAAGGTCATATAAGTGATGAAGATTAGAGATGTTACAAGAGAGTAATAAACACAAAAAAGAAGGAGGGGAGATATGGACGATAGATGTTGGATAGGAAAGAAGAAGACTTGGACTTATCACAAGGACGACGATGTACCAAAGGTACATAAATCAAGTACCCACAAGACACACACACCTGTAGATTTCTCCTCCCCATCACCGTCTCTGGCAAAACAGCGGACCACGTGTTGCACCAGCTCTCTGAGGACACAAAAACAGTCGGAGTATTCAGCCGAGACTACTTAACAACTCTTTATTTCCGGCAAGCCATTCCCAGTGGCTCGCGGTCGTAACCACTGTGCCGGTGAGCTGCCAACAGCGGCTCGGGCACATTCTTTTACGACGACTTCGACATCAAATTACTTTTCGGCAGTAGCGGGAAAACAAGTCTCTTTAATCGGGATTTCATTCATTAGATGTACTATCAAAATAGGTTTACTTGTTTTGATTTAATGACCAGTTTAGCGACAATTTCATCAGTTTTAGATTTAGTACCGAAAACGGGCCCTGGCATAATATGTTTACCGCACTCGGAGATAAAGAGTTAATATGACGTAATAGCAAGGGGAATAGCTTTTGTTACACACAAGACAAAAAGGGGGGTTACTCTGGTAGAACGCACTGCAGTCGAGCCTGCTCTAACAGCTACAGGCTACCTGTTCAAGACAATCAATCACCTGTACAGACAACAATTTCCGATGTCCCCCATGACATTGCTTTGTCTACATCATGATGTCACTGTCTAGGACTTCCACCTGTCTAAGACAATCATTTTTCTCCTTGACAAAGGCTGGTCATCTTGGACAATTTCGACAATATTTACAAGGACAATTATGCCTATAACATATGATATACAAGAGAATTTTTTTAAATAGTTTTAGAAGAGGTTTTATGGCGCACGCAACTGCATAAGGTCATATGAGCGCCAGAAGATTAGAGGTGTTACAAGAGAGTAACAAACATAAAAAAGATGAAGGGGAGATAAGGACGATAGATGTTTCATAGGAAAGAAGAAGCAAACCACACCAGAGCACCCGCCAACCACCCACAAACTACTGTAGTTGAACATAACTCACATGGGAAACAACTCCTGCAGGACGTCACAGCACTGAGCCAGGTCCACGCCCGTGGTCAGCCAGTCGTTCTCGTCACACAGCTGCAGCACGTGGTACACCACAGTCGACAGAAACTCAAAGTCCAGCACGCGCCAGTAGCCTGACATTATATATAATAGACATGAGATACATTTTGCTCCTCTTCTTTCATTTTCCCTAGAAACTCAGCCACTTAAGCATCTTGTTGCTGTCTGTCAATTTTTAAAGGTCTAACAAGCCGGTTATTATCTGTTCACGGTACCATAAAATGCTACAGTTTCAACTTCAAGTTCCCAACTTCCACTTAGATTTTCTTGAACACATGGAATGCTTTATCAGTACAAGTCCTGAACTTGAAAGTACTTGGCTCTTGTAAGTGAAGGTATTTAGCTTCCGTAAGAGAAGGATTGTTTCATTGAGTGACAGTGTTTTGTAAACATGAACCTAAGGAGGTATTCGGTTCCTGCATGGCGGATAACTTTTCAAAATAAAAAGACAGACTCTACTCACATGGCAAGTCAAGATGGTGGGCATTAGTCAAGTAAACCCCCTCCAAACCCTTTGCACACACGTTTCTGCATTCAATAAATTCAAGTCATTCATTTCAAAGTAGACATACAGCGAAAGATATCTCCAACTGACTTATATTGGCTTTGTTTACATTATTAGTCTCAAATCTGGTCTTCATATTCCATAATATTTTTTCAGCATCAGCAAGTCCACAAGGAGCTGCACTAAAAAAAAAGAGAATACATATTTTCTGATATGAAAAAGGACTTCCACACTCACACCCTCAAAAACATATTAAATAGAATTAAATAAAAATTACTTTTAATGTAATGGGTGGCAGCAATGCACATATTTCAATTATTAAAAACACCTCTTTTTTTCAGTTTCTGACAGTACCTGAAAGTTCACAGGCGTTCAGTTTCCGTAAACCTTCCACGATCTCTTTGTTGCTTGCTTGAACTCGATCCTGAAGCTCTGGTAATGTGTACTGAAAGACAAATCAAATTCCACAACGTTTGGATTATCAATCATCTCTCTCATATAACATTCTTTATTGATCATACGCAGTATAGAAATTTGCCTAAAAGTTATCAGCTAACAAAATAATAATATATAATTAAGAAGTAACAATATAAATAGTGATGTGTTAAAGAAATGTAAAAAACACAAAACAAAAAACAAATTCACAAATTTCAACAAAAACCCAGAAGAGAAATCTGGAGACCTTGGACACGATGGTGTGACTTCTGTATCAAACAAATACACATACAACTCTGACAGTAAGTCAAAACAAAACCAGCATGTTTCATAGAGCTATCAGTATTCGTTGCTATAATGAAGAGTAACATTGATCTGACCACAAACCACAACAGACACCAGGAGAAAAAACAAAAAGTTTCCTTTGTGGGCACACATAAACAACTTCTGAGACTAGGAAACCATTTTTGTTGCCGAAACAAAGATAGAAGAAGTTTCTCTAGAACATACGTACCAAGGGGAAGATTTTAAAAGGACTGACTTTGTAAGAACACTCAAAATGAGCCGAAACAAACCGCTATTCCTCCTGACTAAAAACATTTAGTCTGAGTATATTCAGCACAAAAACCATTTGTCAGTATAGCAACAAATGTACAAGTTACCTTTTTTCCTGTGTCTAGCTCATCCCCCTCGCACTCTTTGCCTCTGTACGGGTTTTCTTCAAGCAATTTTCTCAGCTTTTTTAATCTCGGTTTGATTGGACGCAGCTCATAGTAGTTGTATATCACGGAGCCAACCTGTGGGAGTCAAATCGACAAGAATTTGGCACTTTTGGGCAAAACCAGAGAAAGGCTGTCTACACATGGTACTCACACTGAGACGAGAAAAGAAATATCAATTCATCAAACATCAGAACAATTTTGAATCAGAATTGTGTAGAGTGTAAGTAACATCTCAGTAGGCCTATCCAAAATCATGACTCATTTTTTCATTAGCTAAGCGATATAAATAACGTTTTGGTTGTGTAATAGAGACTAGAGCTGTAATCAACCTCTGTTCTTGAGAGATCAAAAGCATAGATGAAAATCAACAAACGACCATAGTTCTGTGGCAGGTGCTGTGGTGTTGTTTGCCCCTTCTTTCCTCTCAACAAACATCTTCCTTCTCTCTGCTCCTTCTTTTCATGTATGCTACTCTGTGGAAGTTGCACTTATGATCTTCGACACTTGTGTGACCTATTTGTGTTGCAAATGCCATAAAACTTACTAAAACTAACTATATAAGGTCCCTTCCAGAATGCGACAAGATTTGTTTCCCCTATAATAATAATAATAATAATAGATAGCATTTGTATAGCGCATATCCCCGCTCAACAGCAGGCTCTATGCGCTTTACACTATATTATTACCCCAGCATACCATAGAAGACTCCGAAACATTCTCAGCTTCCCGGGAAGCATACAGTGCAAGCAGCTGATTAAGCGCTCAAACACTAACAAACTGACAAGATCTTTCGCTGTCTATAGCCGGGTACCCATTCCCACCTGGGTGAAGTGAGGAAAATTCATGTAAAGTGCCTTTCCCAAGGACACAACGTCGGGTCCCTGACGGGATTCGAACCCACGACCTTACGGTTACGAGTTCCCAGAGCCTAACCACTAGGCCACCGAAAAACCCTATCACAATGTCACCATCACCCACAACTCACCTTCTTCTGTACAATTTCCTGATCTCCCTCCGAGGGTAAGTCTGAGCTAAAGGACAACTGTGGTAAGAGCAACATGGAATTGGAAGTTTCCGCTTCCTTGAAGTCATAGGTCTTGTCATCCGTCACCAGTACAGCACCATCGTTCTTATCTCCCCTGATGGTAACGCTGCAAACACCAAACAAAGAAGTATAAAAGAATGAAAGGATAGAGGTGTTCTTTTCTTTTTATCTTTTTTTTTAGTAAGTGTTTTACGGCACTTGCAACACACAATAATAAGGTCATATAAGTGCCAAAGATTAGACGTGTCACAAGAGAGTAACAAACACACACACAAAAAAAGGAGGGGAGATAAGGATGATAGATCTTTGATAGGAAAGTAGGAGCAGACCACACCAGAGCACCCGCCAACCACCCACTTCTTTTTATCTGACAGAAATAAAGACAAGCAATAGCTAAAATAAAGTAATTAGGAAACCTGCCCGCCACGTCCAACCCACACACCCCTAAATCAGAGAAGGACGTAGAATGAAGAAGCAGTGAGGGCTATCAAAAAATCACTTTTCGATGTCTCGTACCGGCACAAGTACTTTTGTAAGCAAAAAATGTGTTCCTACCAATTCTATGCAAGATGCCATGTTTATTCAGTACTTTTCCCAAAATATCACAATATCTATTAATTTCTAATATTAAATTTACTCTTTAAACACTCAAAATAGCCAAAAAGACAAAAGGGAACTATATGAATTTCACTACATTTTCACTCCTATGCCAGGTACAAAGTATTAAGTAAAATGATTCATTTGCCTCAGGACCCCCCCCCCCCCCCCCCCCCCCCCTGGCAAAAAAAAAAATTTTTTTTTAAAAAAAAAAGAAAACAGAACATTCTAAAGCACGAAATATCCCATTTAGCTAAAGGAGGGGAATTCCCTTTTTAACGAAAAAAAAGGGAGACATCTCCGCTGGGTTGACCTGGGGAAAAACCTCGGCAGGAGAAAAAAAAAAACAGGGGCTCTCGTGGCCTAGAGGTTAAGGTGTTGGCCTCTCATTCAAAGGTCCCGGGTTCGATTCCGGGTAGCGACCAAAAAATGTTCTTCTCTAAAATTGTCTCCTTTCACATCCTTTCCTGATCTCTAACAATGTTCTGTTGTCTGCTTTCATTTCCACTTTCTGCCCCCACCCCCTCACCTCCTTTGCCCCCTCCTCTGGGCTCCTGACTCTTTCTGCAGCCTTTCTACTGCTACTCCTTGGCTCCTCCTAACTGCTGTCTTTCTGCCACACCCTGATCTTCTGGTAGGAAAGATCTACACCTAGCCTTCTCGGACAAGGGCGAAAAATCTCGGAGGGCCCGTGTGCAAGTTGCGCACGTTAAAGATCCCTTGGTGGTCTAAAATCGATAAGAGTAGGCTTCGGCCGCCACCCGGGCAAAATTCAAAATTTCCTACCACCGAAAAAGTATTAGGTGTGTCCCGCGCGCTCATATGACCTTATGCAGTTGCGAGCGCCGTAAAACCCTATACTAAACAAACAAACAAAAAGAAAAAAACATTTAAAAAACCCAACCCCATGACAAGGCACTGACACATTTATTAAGCATCTGAGAATGGTCACTGTCAGTGACTGTCAGTACAAGCAAAATAACAAACCTTTTTCCTGACAAAATTGAATCAAGGACAGGTTGGTCAAGTTCTAGTAGTTTGATGCTGTCGTTTTCTAGATGTTCCGAGAAATACAAGCACTGGACTTGAGGCTTGAAATCTGACCTTTCCAGTTTTGCAAATTCTAAGATGCTGTTGATGTCACTGAGAGATCTGAAAAAAAGAATATTATATCGTGAGTACAGAAATCAAACTAGATTTGTGCATTAGAATTACAGTCCAACCTGCCTTAACGGAAACCTGTGTAAAACGGAAACCTGTCTCAACGGAATCTCCCCGCTCCCCCCTTGATATATCTCTCGTTAATTACCTGTATAAAACGGAAACCTGTCCAACGCGGAAACGGAAAAAAAAATCCGCTCCCTTCCGAGGGTTTCACCTGTCTAAGACGGAAAATGCTTTGCCCGCTCAGCCCTGATTTGAAACGAAACTCGCAAGTTTGGTTCCGCTGGCTCTGAACTTAACGCCATGGCCATGCCGCTGGGCGAGGAAGGGGAGTAGGGGTGCAATAAGGGGGTAGATGTTACCCCATCATGTGAGCCCTGAGCGATGCAGATGGTCAGTGTAGTGTGGGTGTGAAATCTCACGACTGAGAGTGCTCGGGTAGCGAACCACTACTAAGAAAACCTTCCTGGGTAGCCAGAAGCCAGAGGTGTGAAATTAGATTGTCCAATGCCTGCCGCCTTGATCGTACGGCCAGCCGAGAAAAGAGTTCCTCGAATCGTTGTTACAACGATGGCAGTGAGGGGTGGCATTGGTGGGTGGGGCTAAGGGTGGAAGCAAATGAGATGTTGAAACCTTTCTGTTTTTAATAGGTCAAACCGTGGTCCTATGAAAGAAAGGCAAGCACTGGTGGTAATTGGATACGTAAGACTGACGCATGTCATTATCAGACAGGATAGCAGCTGAGAGGTGTGAAGTTTTGATCACTGCTTGCCGATCGGACAAGCGATCCTTGATCCCACCGGATGGGCCTTTGAACCCACCTCCACCTCCCCCCTAAATTCCCCTGTCTAAGACGGAAAATGTCTAAGGCGGAATTTTCCCCCGCTCCCTTGCGATTCCGTCTTACACAGGTTCGACTGTATTTTCAAAACTTGCCTCTGAACATAAAAAACCTTTATAATACTCTGGTATTCCTTTTTTACACTGTGTAATTGTAATGGGGGTAAAAGTAGCACCACTAAAAGTACTAAAACATCAAAATTAAATCACAGTCCAAAAATATAGCTTGATGTACTTAAGAATTTAAAGTTTAATAAATCTTCTATCAGGGCTTTATATTAAATTATATGATGCTCTTTAGAGTCTGGACAACCGTCTTTTTTTTTTCTTCCTTCTTTTTTTTTGGGGGGGGGGTAAGTGTTTTACGGCACTCACAACTGCATGAGGTCATATGAGCGCACAGGACACATTAACCATTTTCAGTTGGTAGGAAATTTTGAATCTTGCCCGGGTGGCGGCCGAAGCCTACTCTTATCCATTTTAGAACACCAAGGGATCTTTAACGTGCACAACTTGCACACGGGACCTCCGAGATTTTTCACCTTTGTCCGAGAAGGCTAGGTGTAGATCTTTCCTACCAGAAGATCAGGGGTGTGGCTGAAAGACAGTGGTAGGAAGGAGCCAAGGAGTAGCAGTAGACAGACTGCAGAAAGAGTCAGGAGCCCAGAGGAAGGGACAAACGGGACGAGGGAGTGGGGGCAGAAAGGAAAAGTGGAGAAGAAAGCAGACGACAGAACATTGCTAAAGAGCAGGAAAGGAGGTGAAAGGAGACAATTTAAGAGAAGAAAATTTTTCGGTCGCTACCCGGATTTGTACCCGGGACCTTTGAATGAGAGGCAAACACCTTTTAAACCTCTAGGCCATGAGAGCCCCCAACAACTATCTAACAATTGACAATCTAATGATTCTTATAGGGTTCACAATTATGACAAATACTAATCAACAGAGAGAAAGAAGGCAAATATGCAAGTTACAATCCCATTGCATGCTTCATGGCTGGCTCAGCCTATATGTCTGCATGTAGACTAATGTCTTAAAGCTTCCTGAATTGTGCTCATCATGAGCATAATTTGTGCAGTAGTCTCCACCAAAGGTCCCGATGCTTGGGAGCAAGGAAAAAGAGGGACCTTACCCAAATCATCATGGTCATGTTCACAATCGATTATAACAATATAAATCTCCCCTTACACTGAAATGAACAGACGTGACCCCTTTTTGCTTAGCAGGCAGAGTGGTTAACCCTGATGACCAATCACAATGGTCTCTTTTTAAATTTAATAAGGCATGCCATTTTCACTTATTATATATATATATTATATATATATATATATATATATATTATATCCACTCATGAGCTTCAACATCTGGGTCAATCCCATTGCTCCTGTCCTCTCAAACTGTCCAAAATTATTTTATCTCTGACTGAGTTCCCTGCTCATGTTGTTAATGCATCATTGTGTCGAGACCAGGCCAAATAAAATTCCAACGAAAGGCATGTTCTCAGTTCGATGTGGTGATTGTGATCCCATTTAAAATGTAGTCTATTGTAGTACCCTTTTACTTTTGTGTGATGTTAGTCCAGGAGAAAGTCTCAAATATGAGTGCAGTGTTTCAGGAAAGGCCACCTCTATTCTCACCCGGGGTGAGAATAGCGCAGGCGAGTCTTTTGGCTATTCTCACACGGTGGGTGTTCACCGTTATAGCCTAGGCCAACCAGTGAAGCATTCACCCTGAACCACAGAATTCTACATTGTGATAACAGAATTATAGAATTCTGTGCTGTGAACAAACGTTCTAGATCTATTACTACTGTTAGTGTTAGCCTAAAAGCGTGCAATTTTGTCTGTGGGCAGTGGAGAGAGAGAAACAGAGAGAGAGAAAGGAGTAGCGTGAGAACTTCCGGGCAAAACAAGATGGTGACCCGTGTAGTTAGGCTCGATTCGGAAAGTTAAATAGCCGTAGCAGCTTTGTAGACAACCAAATTAATTTAGTTTTGTTTTTTAACATCATTTTTTAACTTTGTATTGGTCAATTTGATCGACCACACCGATAGACAGTATTCAGAAAGAGACAGAGAGAGAGAGAGAGAGGGGGGGAGGAGTAGATCTTGTGAGAACTTCCGGGCAAAACAAAATGGCGACCCGCGTAGTTCGGCTCGACTCGAAAAATGAAATATAGCCATAGCATCTTTGAAGACCATCAAATTAGCTTACTTTTGTGCTATAATGTAATTTTTTCTTGGCTTTTATCAATTTGATCATCCACACCGATAGACAGTATTCCAAAATGAGAAAAAACAGGTCTTGTTTCACATCGGGTGAGAATAGTCTACGCTGGCAAATCTCACACACACGGGGTGAGAGGTAGATCTAGATCGTATTTTTATTCTCACCCCGGGTGAGAATAGCCACTTCCTTGAGGAAAACAGACACGTCCAAGACTTGACAGGATCCAGTCTGGGACAAACATTGTGCCCACTCATCGTGATTTGCAAAGGAGATGTAAAATATAACAATTGTATACACAAGAGTCAAAGAGTGGGTGATCTATCCTGATCCATGACACTGCTGCACAGGCAGCACAATAATTGCAAATTTTCACTGCTTAGAAGACGTACAGTCGATCAGTTTATCAGCTAGGCTCTACCCTATTTTTTAAAATGTGAATCATGGTCTGAAATATGGGATCTTAGCTGAGTTTAGTCCTTTCGGAGCACAATCTTAGAGATGACTTTACTTTTGTTCAGTAAAATTGTTTTCTTCTTACTAGATCTAGATCTAGATCTAGATCTAGATCTAGATCTACAGACTACAGCGGTAGGGTCTCTTTTAAAAGTCAACTTGGATCATAGATGATAGGCAGGACAGGCCGCCTTAGACAGAGACTACTGTACTGTACATGACAATGCTTACAGAAGCCTGCTTTCGCGCATATTATAAGATACTTTTTACGTCTAAATCTAGATCAACATATTACCTACCTTTGCCTCCCTTCAGATTCAGTCTCCTGCGACTGGTCGTCGGCGTCGGGAGTCACCTCCATCGCCGTGTTCGGCACAGCTGGGTTTTCACTGACGTCCATATTGTCAGTCAACTTCATACTCCCACAAACACTGTAGTTTAGTCTAGATCTAGAATCTAGATATCTAGTTATTTTTTCTTCTTATATAATTCTTGTCTTTTTTTTTTTAAGACAACGGTTGTTATAGTCGTGTGTAGCAATGCATGCAGAAAAGGAAACGACAAGGCTATTGTTTACAAACAGCTGACAACTACCGCCAAATTTTACCTCCGCCGGAAACACGCCTTCTATCCTCTTCGCTGCTAGATATTTCGTGTTTTTATAACATTTTAATAATGTCCTGATTGTCATGAGAAATCGGTTCACACATTGACATACAGAGGTGCCGTTAATGAACGACGCTAGAAATATGCCACAGTTACATCAGGATTGTGGAAAAGATTACTGTGGAGACTTGTCTAAACCAAGGACTGTTGGTACATAATACAACATATTGTACATGTCCTATACAGAATGTAAATTGAATAATTGTGTACTTGAGTTGGAGCCCGCCATTTAGTCAAGTGAAATATTACTGGTGTTTTTCCGACATCCTCATCCTCACTGGCTAATAATTACCAATTCATTTAACACAATTCTTTGTCTGTTCTATTTCTTACTTGCACAAAGCATAGGGTGTTGTGTTCCTTCTGTCCTGAACAATTGTTTTTTCTTGAATAGACTATCTATAATATTGTCTATGGACTATAGTACAGTGAAGTATCCTGCCAGTCAGCAAAGTACATGTAACTCCCCCCCCCCTCTTTTTGTACCCTGTCTATTATCTCTGAAACAAATTACACTGAAACTGGCATAATATGACATCTAAAGTGTTATCTCCATATATTTCTTTTTTATTTCATCTTCTTTGTAGATATTATTCTTCCCTGAGGTGGCGATTTTAGGATGCCACTGGTAAACTCTAGGTCCTACTCCTCTTCTTTTACTCTGTTGTTTCTGTCTGGTCTATCTTACTTTTCCCCTGCACTAAATGATCATTAGTGTATTGGTATTGGTGAGACTCTTTCTAAAGGAAAAAAAACACCCAAAAAAAACCCCCGTCTTCTCTTGATCGAAGTCAAGTACTTGCTTTTCTTCTGTCCTCAGACTTTTCCACAGAGGCAGAGACAATTCAATTCCCAAGCCACTTTGACCAGCACGAAGACATTTTGAGATTCAAATTTATCTTGTCTAACTTCGAAGCTCATAGTTTGTTTCTTCGAGTTCGAGAGTTCAAAATGATTTCAACAGCGATTTCTTTCCTCTCAAGTACTATCTGTACTCCTTTGCCAAAGCCACAGCCAACTCATGAAAAGCCCAATGAAATTTTTAAAAAAAGATATCTGGGAGATTGGCTTCAGTCACCTGTCACCATGGAGATTGGCTTCTGTGTAAGTCATTGTCACCATGGAGACTGGTTTCTATGTCAGTCACCTGTCACCATGGAGATTGGCTTCAGTCACCTGTCACGACGGCCCAGTTTATATTTTCTGTATATGCACCAGTCCTCACCAAAACAGATCTCTATCTTTCCCGGTTTTGCTTTGATTTATCATTTCTTTACGCACATGTTGTCAGTGTAAGGGCATTCTGTTAGCTCAGTTGGCATCATGTTGAGAAGACAGAGTGGATTGTCTTGGTTCGAAATCCAGATATAATGGGCATTCTTGAACTCGGGTCGCTTTGTAGAGTTTTCAAGGCTCTCAACCCATTTGACTCCATCCTTTAGGAGAGGGATGATAGATTTGAAGGTCCTACCTCTTTAATAACCTATTAGTGCTGATAGGGGCGATAAACCCATACACTTTACTATCTAAAGATAAAAGTTATGTCCATAAGGCATACTGTCACCGTTACCTCACGTGGTACAACAAGGAGTTTGTGATGCAGCAAGATCGGTTCACACCAGTTTGTTTTTTAGTTTTAGTAAGAGTTTTGCGGCACTTGCAACACAATAAGAGCCGAAGATTAGAGGTGTTACAAGAGAATAACAAACACAAAAAAGGAGGGGAGATATAGACGTTATATGTTTGATAGGAAAAAAGAAGCAAACCACACCAGAGCATCCGCCAACCACCCATCACACGTTTGTAACCAAGGCCGATTGGACGTTGCTTATTCACTAGAGGTCTTACCTAAGACATTTTATATGCCCCTCACGGACACAGTATTGTATAATCTAGGAGGTGGGCTTTTTCAAACCTGCCTGTCTGTGCCAAGCTGGGCTGAATGGGGGGATGCAGCATCTCAGTGGACAGACTGAAATGTTTCAATAAAATTGCTTCCCTACTTGGGATTGTGATGTGTTTTTTAAAGTCCCCATCCAGGTTATTTTGATAATTTAAAAGATGGCTGCTTCAACCTTGCCCATCAGGGCTGATCTGGTCCAAGAAGGACACAATGTCTGAACAGAAAGACAGAGATAGTCAATAAACCCTTATACAAACTGCCTCTAAAATCTTCATGTGAGCTCAACATTGCACATGAGACTTGAGACAGAAAAAGACAGAGATAGTCAATAAACCCTTATACAAACTGCCTCTAAAATCTTCATGTGAGCTCAACATTGCACAACATCAGACTTGAGACAGAAAAAGACAGATTAAAAAAAAAACATGACAAAAAACACATTTACTCTATACTAAGCACACAAAAAACTTGCTGAAGCAAATCCACAATAAAAACAAATCTATTGTCATAACTTATAAGTTTTTATTCTCATGCCTCCTGTCAAACATTCTTTCAGCAGTTTCAACACAAAAAGGAAAACCAGTCTAAAAGTATTCTTGTAGATTTTCCCCGACCGACGTCTCCATCGCGGCCAGGACTTTCTGTGTGTGTTTCTCCACCTCGTCGGACTCATCTGTGAGGACAAAACGTACATACGTTACACAAGTTTTAGTTTTACTAAGTGTTTTACAGCACTTGCAACACAATGTCATATAAGTGCCGAAGATTAGAGGTGTTACAAGAGAGTAACAAACACAAAAAAGAAGGAAGGGAGATAAGGACGATAGATGTTTGATAGGAAAGAAGAAGCAAACCACACCAGAGCACCCGCCAACCACCCACATGTTACACATGGAACAAAAAGCACAGAGAGTACAAAACGTGATAGATTTTGACATGACTGGACATTTAACTATCTTTGCAACGACGGCCTATTAATTGGCTATTTGTTCTGTGGTGTTGTGGCTGATTCTAATTGACCGTAATTTGAGTCGCTATTTTGATTCTTTTATCCTGTTTTAAAAAAACTGTTCCCAAACATTTCAACTCCTTGACGAAAGAGCTCTACGTTCTATATTTATTTACATTCTACTTTCTGAAAATGTAAATGTTCATGGCCTTTACCTGTTTAGTTTGCCAGTTTTAATTTTCCAACATAACATAGTGAAACTATATAATTTCCCCTGACACCACAGACTATTTGTAATCAACGCTTGGAAGGTTGAGGGATAAATTATTGGGTATGGAAGATGAATCGTAAGCAGCTGTAGAAAGAACTTTTACAAAAAGCAACAGACTTGTACAATTGTTCTACATGTTAAAACAAGCCAGGATCATAGCTACTGTTGTCCTTCCATGTTAAAACAAGCAAGAATCATAACTACTGTTGTCCTTCTATGTTAAAACACGCAAGAATGATAAAACACTGTTGTGCTTCCATGTTAAAACAAGCTAGAATCATAACTACTGTTGTCCTTCCATGTTAAAAAAAAGCCAGAATGATTACTGTTGTCCTTCCATGTTAAAACACGCAAGAATGATAAAACACTGTTGTCCTTTCATGTTAAAACAAACCAGAATGACAAACAGTATTGTCCTTCCATGTTAAAACTAGCCAGGATCATAACTACTGTTGTCCTCCCACACATAAGAGAACATGTCCCCAACTCACCCTCCATGAGCTCGGCCAAGAACGGGATGGTCTCGGGCACCAGCTGCGTATAGTCCTCCCCCAGCTGTTTGTGGAAGGCGTCTACCGCAGAAATGGCCCATATGCGAACCTGTGAGGGGGAAATTACACTGAGTCAGAAAGAACTCACATGAAAGTAATACTGCTGAAATTGTTTAAGAAGATGGCCACCCGTTGTCAGGGAGAAAAGTAGTTGTCTTAGATAGGTGGACGTCTTACTCAGTGTCATTATATTGTAAAAAAAAACCAACAACCCCAAAACAACAAAAACAATACAAGTAAGTTGAAGACAAGAAGGAAAAGATGTGATAGAGATGTGATGCTTTGCCCATCATCAACATAATTTAATTGAATTATTAAGGGGGTTGACTGTTTCAACCCTGATTGTCAATTATCAGTGGCTGAACCATGATCATTGTCATGCCTAGCATGAACTGCAACCAAACAACTTTCTTAATTTTTACTTTCTTCCATTGGGCTATCAACAAAGTATACCAGTATCTTATCTCATATTTGGGCCTGCCTCCTAAATGACTGAAATTGTATCAACGGTGGCGATAAATCACAATTACAATATTTCTCACCTTTGGGTCTTCGTGCCTGGTCTTGAGCAGGATCTGGTAGTTCATGTCCTTCCACAGCGAGTCGTCCTGCGAGGCAGCAGCCAGACTGCCCAGGCACGGCACCACGTGGTTGCTGGTTCGCTCCTCACACACCGAGTCTTTGCCAAAGTCATTCTCCAGCTGTTGGGAGACAAACCAGATAGAAGTCATTGTCACTGTGCTGTTGTTGTTATGAAAAATATGAAAACCATGCTCAGGTCAGGTAATCATTGCCAACATTATGTTGCCCATGGATACAATTTAGTTGGAGAGGAGCATCTGAGTACAACCAAATGGGTTATTCTAATAATTCTAAACTATATTTCTATCAATCAAAGCACAGAAAAGACTTATAGAGTTAATGAAATGTTCATCGTTTACCAAACAGAGCACTGGCATAATAATAGATTTACAAACCCCTTCCACTCTCTCTCCCTCCTTTCTTTCCCATTCTCTGCCCCCCCAATTCTCACCCCTACTCCCCTTTCACTTTCTCTCTAGTCTCCACTCCAGCTCCATTCTCCTCCCCTCTCTATTCTTTCACCTCAAATTTCCCCATCCCCTCGTACAAAGAGTGATCACAGAGTAACCTCCGACCCCCTCACCTGATCCACAAGAGGCTGCATGACGACGTCAAACCTCTCCTTGGTGACAAAACCCTCCGTGTCGTGGGCGAACGTTTGCTGCAGCGTGTCCGTCACGTAGACCAACAGACGACAGCTCTTCCTCCGCGCGGCCTTGCCCTTGCCAAAATATTTCACCTCTGAAACAAGAAAACAGTGTCATATCAAACTGTGTTTCGGAAAAAATGTTTTATTTCAAGAGTGATTTACCCTACGTCATAAGGCAAATTTATTTTAAAGTGTCTTGTTTGTTCTTGTAAACAGAAGCACACTGGCACAGTAACAGCAACAAAGACGGACAGAAAACAACGGAAAGAAAGGGAGGAAAAAGCACCTGCCAACTGTGCTGTCCAACAATCAGCTGAAAATGTGTAAAAATGTTTCAAAAGAGCAGACAATTTTTCAAAAGCACAAGTATTTCAAATGTCAGGGACTTTTGTGACTTGTTGACCGACGTATACAGTGCGAACAAAAGAGGTTTAGTTTTCGTAAGTTGTGTTATTGCACTTGCAATAGGTCATAGTACCAAAGATTAGAGGTTTTAAAAAGGGAGTAGTAACATACAGAGAAAAGCAGGAGGAGAGATAAGAACGATAGACGTTTAATAGGAAAAAAGGAGCAAACTACACAAAAGCACCTGCCAACCACCCACTTTACATTCTCATAGACATAATTTAGACCAGTAAGAAATATCTCCAGAGTGTGTGAGCCATGTCCTACTTTGTTTTGTCTTGTTGTTGAGGTCCAGCGTCTCCGCGCTGTGCTTCAGGATGTGGCCGGCAAACAGCGTGAACAAATTCTTCAGCTTCTCCGCCAGGCTGGGGATGCACGAGAATCACATTCGTTAGGGCAAAGGTCAAAAACACTGGGTACACAACTGTCACATCTATTGTCCCACTTCATTCACCAAAGGGGACCAAAAGACATATCATAAGCTAAACTACTGTTGTCCTCTGAAGAGTTAATTTCCACCTCATAGGAAATACATCTCAAAATATGATAATTGCACAAATTTTCAATTTTAAAAATGCAATATATATTGTCAACACATTGAGTTCCCTGATCAATTTACACCTGGCATTTATTTCCTGCCCTTCTCCTCCACCTACTTGACCAGCAGCCTGAAGACACAATCAGTGACATCAGAGACCCAGATCTGCAAATCACTCCATGACCAAAAACAGTAGAGTCTCCAGATCCCCAGAAAATTAAGATTATATAACGAACTGACAGCGGTAAATAAACATATATTGCAAATACACACATAATGTGAATCAAAATGTGTACTTTCATGACATTTACGTTAAATTTCATACAACCTGATGGATACTGAAATTAAAAAACAAAACAAAAATACCCCTCCCCACTTTATGCAAATCCAATCCGCGTTCTTTGACTGGCAAAAGAAACCCCCTGGAGAGCCCTGATTTTATCGTCGTACTAGTCAGGTTTGGAGAGAGACCAGAAGCCTAAGGTAAGGCGCGACCCCCAGACTTGGTGATGACCTCACTCACCTGTGACACAGACGATAGAAGACCAACACCCGGTCACGACTCGCCTCCTCATCGGTAGCCCAGCCAAACAACTGCGGAGAACAAGAGAAAGGTCATTGAGTACTCTCTCAGAAACAAATATTTTCAAAACCTTAGCTTATCCGTACATCTCGTTTTACAATCGTATCCATACGACACTCTGTGCCGCCACTTTCCAAAGAGGAAATTTACTCGTTAATCCGATCCGTACGCTTTGCATAGCAGTCTGTCAAAATCATTTTTTGAGAAATACTGAAAGTTTCAAAGAGACCTTCGAACTAGAAGTATTCTAAAATGTGAAGAATACAACCCCTGAGGTACAAAATGACCTAAGGAGTACGAAAAGAGTTAATTATACTGAAATCTGCGGGACCACTAGACTTTCTTCAGTTTAGAGAGGTTGCTCAAATAGAAAATACAAAAATCGGGGATTCTGCTTTCTCTTAGTTTACCATTGTTTTTTTTATGAAATATGTTTGGTTTAGGTGGATTCCACTGTATATTATTGCACTTATGAAATAATTTCCAGAGAGTGGCGTACTGGTATATCGTACAAAGAGTGTGTAGGGGTGGGGGTGGGGGGGGTATTGCTCTAATGGAATCTCTATTTGAGATATAAAACATCTTCATCAGTGCCGCTAGTGAGATATGTGAGGCAGCGTGGTGAAATCAGGCGCTCGTCAAAATACAGAAATCGGAGAAACAGATCTAGGTCTTTTTCCACCAGTTTGGACATTTTTATCTAATTTCTATTTTTTGGCTCAACCGCTTTTATGTCTATACAAAAACAAATTTCCATGTGAATTTTACAGAAAAACATTGATTAAAGGCACAAAATATGTCATTTTCTGTTTTCAGGGACTCTTTACGTATTGGAGCTGCCCAACTTTGGTGGCCATTTTCTCGCTAATTTCACCACTAAAACCAGGCGACCTCACTTCCTTCAATCGCAAATATCTTGAGTTCTATTCAAGACAGATGAATATTTAATTAATTGGAAGCAAGGCAAATAAATCAGCTTTTCGATGATACCAATAGCTCAACATGCCCAAAAATTGACCGACACATAATGGCACATAAATTGTGGAAGATACTTTTATCGAGTGAAATATTTTGTATTAAAATCTAGGAGGACATTCCAGACTGAAATGCAAGCACAACTTCACTGCACAGTGTTCATACTGGTAAAACTTCTAAGAACGGAATTTCTTTGTTCAACATTGTCCGACTCTCTCATAAAAATACTGAGTAGTCCAGTCAGTAGACTTTCTCTCATAAAAATACTGAGGAGTCCAATTAGTAGAATTTCTCTCATAAAAATACTGAGTAGTCCACTAACCAGTAGACTTTCTCTCATAAAATAACAAAACTGGCGAACAAAACATAATAATTCTTTTTGAGATAATGGAAGAACATTTAAACTGAAGCTGCAGGCTCTGCAAGCTTCATGAGAGACACAGAAGAGCAGGGCAGAGAACAAGCATGGTTCATAAAAGCTTGAAGAAAGAAACATCACTCTTAAGTTTACATTGGAGAAAGAAACATCACTCTTAAGTTTACATTGGAGAAAGAAACATCACTCTTAAGTTTACATTGGAGAAAGAAACATCACTCTTAAGTTGACATTGGAGAAAGAAACATCACTCTTAAGTTTACATTGGAGAAAGAAACATCACTCTTAAGTTTACAAAGTGCGACAACAACAAAGACAAAAATCTTAGACTATCCTACGTCGTGTAAACACAGCTCACCTGGATCAGCATGGGTTTGAACTGAGCCTCCGACAGTTTGAACACCAGCGAGACAAACGCATCGATGATGCAGCCTTCTATACTGTCAAGGTCACTTTCATCGATCTGAGCAGAAAGAAAGCGGCCCACATCACAAATTTAAAAAACAATTGAGATATTATGCAGATCTTAAACTGTCAAAAAATCAGTCAGTGAAAAAAGATTTCTACAACATTAAAAGTAACAATATTTAAACAAAACAAAATATGTCTTCTTTAAGAACATATGTTCAATGACACCAATGTAGGAAATATTTTTAGAAGATAAATGACATTCAGAAGCAAAAGCAATGTTCATTTTCGATGAATCGCCTTCCCCAAACTTGATTATGAGTATCAGATTAATAAAAATAGTCATAACAAAGACAAGCAGTCCCAACAACTGTTTGCTGCCGTGAGTAGAGACTCTAATAACGGACTGCAAAAGAGGGGCAAAAGTTGATGAAATAAAGCCTGCAGCCCATATATCTGAGGGTAACAAACCACATACCAGTATGTGTGAATGTGTGCATGTAACAGAGGGTTTTGGTGTGTGCGCGTGTTCGTGTGTGTGAGAGTGTGTGTGCATGTGCACACGTGCGTGAGTGTAGCAAATCTCACGCCAAAGTGTGTGTATGTGTGTGTCCGCATACGCATGTGAGTGTGACAAAGATAACCTACACACCTGTGTGTGTGTGACCCTGAGGTCAAAGCAGACAAGGAAGAACTGTAGCAGGTCCTGTGAGAACGTCGTCAGCTCCTCCCGAGACATCTTGACCACGTGCTCACGCAGCATAGACATGGCACATGCGGCGCACGCCTGAAAGGGGTAGGGATGGGAAAGGGGGGAGAGAGGGGGATGAATGACATTATAAAAAACACAGTGTACAATGAGGCCAAAACACATTAGCAAAAAGGTCAGACAGAATGAAGAAAAAGGGACAAGAAAATGAGGGCACCAAAAGTTCTGGCAACATTAGAGATCTGAAGGTCTTTTACATTTAAAATCAAATTAACTCACTTGCGACTGGGCCCTTTCACCAGCCACAAGCGTTGAAGACTGGCGTTTTGGGGGGTATTTCAATAAATCACCACAACTCTCAGAATTACCCTATTGTAATCATTTTTTGACACAGTAAAGTAACATTCAAGCTTA